GTTGCCTTCTACATCAAGAAATCAATACTGTGAAGAGCTCTCCCTGAAGAATAGCCATGAGCAGGTCAAAAGCCTACGGGTAAGAACTGGAGGCTGAGGCAATAAAGGAAACCTGGTCGTTAGTGTTTACTACAGGCCGCTTGATCCAGGGGAGCGTACTGATGAAGGCTTCTTCCTCCAGCCACAGGAGGCTTTGCGCTGGTAGGCTATCATCCTGCTGGGGGACTTCAACCACCCTGACATCTGCTGGAAAAGTAGCACGATGAGCTGTAGGCAGTCCGGGAGGCTCCTGGAGTGCATTGAGGATAACTTCTCGAGCCAGGTAATAGACAAGCGCTAGCAGAGGAGATGTGATACCGAACCTGTTGGTCACCAACACAAGGAAGTTAATCGGTTACGTCAAGACTGGAGGCAACCATGCACTGGTGGAGTTCTCAGTCTTGAGGGATATGGGAAAGGTGAAGAATGTAGTCAGGACCCTAAATTTTAGGAAAGCCAACTTCCAGCTGTTCAAGGAGTAGGTCAATAGGACCCCCCTGGGAAACTGCCCTCAGGAACAGGGAGGCAGAACAGAGCTGGCAGATCCTTAAGGATGCTTTCCATAGAGTGCAAGAGCTCTCAGTCCCCACGTGTAAGAAATCAGGCAAGGAAGGGAAAAGACCAGCACGGCTGAGTTGAGGCCTGCTAGTCCAACTAAAGGACAAGAGGGAACTGCACAGGCAGTGGAAACAGGACAGGTATCTTGGGAAGAGGATACGGATGCTGCCTCGTTGTGTAGGGATGGGGTAAGGAAGGCCAAGGCGTGACTGAAGCTGTACTTGTCAAGGGACGCTAAGTATAACAAGAAGGGCTTCTACAATTATGTCAACCAGAAAAGGAAGATGAACGAAAGCATACTCCTCCCCCCCCTCCCCCGCAATGAACAAGAATTACAGCCTAGTATCAACACAGATGAGGAGACAGCTGAAGTACTTAACAGATTTTTGCCTCAGTCTTCACTGGCATCTGCTCTCAGCCCTCCAGAGTCAATGGACCGCAAGCTGGGGACCAGGGGAGTAAAGCCCCTCCCAGTGTAAGAGATCAGATTCATGACTGCCTGAGGAGCCTGAACATACAGAAGTCTATGGGACCTGGTGAGATGTATCCCAGAATCCTGAGGGAACTGGCTGATGTAGTTGCCAAGCCACTCCCCATGATATTTGAAAAGTCATGGCAGTCAGGAGAAGTCCCTGGTGACTGAAAGAAGGGAAACATTGCATCTATTTTTAAAAAAAGGTGGAAAGGACCACCCCAGGAACTACTGACCTGTCAGCCTCCCCTCTGTGCCTGGGAAGATCATGGAACAGATCCTCCTACCAGCTATGCTACAGCACCTGGAGGACAGGGAGGCGATGTGAGACAGCCAACATGGCTTCACCAAGGGCAAGTCCTGCCCAACCAGCCTAGTGGCTTGCTATGATGGAGTGACTACACCAGTAGACAAGGGAAAAGCAATTGTGTCATCTGTCTGGACTTCTGTAAAGCCTCTGACACGGTCCCCCACAACATCCTTCCTCTAAATTGGGGAGATATGGTTTTGATGGGTGGACTGTTTGGTGGATGAGGAATCAGTTGGATGGTCACAGCCAGATGGTAGCAGTCAATGGCTTGATGTCCAAATGGATGCCGGTGACGTGATGTCCCTCAGGGGTCCATACTGGGACCAGTGCTGTTTAATATTTTCATCAATGACACACACAGCATAATCAAGTGCATCCTCAGCAAGTTTGCAGATGACAACAAGCTAAGGGGTGCAGTTGACACACCTAAGGGATGGGATACCCCACAGTGTGCGCTCACAGTCCAGAGGGCCAACCATATCCTGGGCTGTATCAAAAGCAGCGTGGCCTGCAGGTCGAGGGATGGGAGTCTGTCACTCTTCTCTGGTGAGAGCCCACGTGGAGTCTTGCGTCCAGCTGTGGAGCCCTTAGCACAGGAACGACATGAACCTGTTGGAGCGGGCACAGAGGAGGGCGACAAAAATGATCCAAGGGCTGGAGCACCTCTCATATGGGGACGTGCTGAGAGAGTTGGGGTTGCTCAGCCTGGAGAAGAGAAGGCTGCGAGGAGACCTTATAGCAGCCTTTCAGTACGTAAAGGAGACCTACGGGAAAGATTAGGACAATGTTTTTAGCAAGGCCTGTTGTGACAGGACAAGGAGTAATGATTTTAAGCTAACGGAGGATAGATTTAGACTGGATATAAGGAAGAAATTTTTTACAGTGAAGGTGGGGAAACACAGGAACAAGTTGTCCAGAGAGGTAGTGGAGGCCCAGTCTCTAGAAGCATTCAAGGGCAGGTTGGACGGGGCTCTGAGCAACCTGATCGAGTTGAAGATGTCCCTGCTCAGTGCAGGAGGATTTGGCTAGATGACCTAAAGGCCCATTCTAACCCAAAGCATTCTATGATTTTGTGAAATAGTTAAGTATGTTGCAGTGGGTTCTGCTAACTGCAGAGCAGGTGACAGGTGGGGCACACATGCTAATCCTATTTCATTCCTTATTGCTGAGTTTTATCTAGTGGAATAGGTACCTTCTCCTGGTTATGCAGATGTTTTTGGCTTTTTGGGCTTAACTTGCTGTTAATGGTAACTGGGGA